ATATACGAGATCTAGTCGATCCCTCTTTGATCTTACTTTTAGCAGCCATATCTTCTTTTCTTTGCTCATTCCTCACAGCAGGGTGTCTATGTCTACAGTGTTGGCTCAATCCAGATCTAGTATGAAAACCAAGCCCACAGACGGAGCACGTATGGCTCTTCATTGGGGTATCCGCCTTCTTGGGTATGCACTTGGGGTAGTGGCAAGCTATATTATGATATTGAGAAGATTTTCCACATTTACTACATACAACTCGTATGGCTTTACTTTTATGAACCACATTAATGTGTTTGGCCCATTTACCAAATGTTGGTAATATCTGGGGACATATTGGACAATTAAAACTATCAACGGGATACTCTAAATAAAAAACCCCATCCTTCCACGAACTACTTTCTAATATATTTATATTACTACCAGTACTGTTAAGATCCTTATTACGATCCCTATTAAAATCAGTACTTGGTCTAAAACTATTTAATAAACTAGACCCATTAACTAAATGAGCATTAAGATATCCCGATTCGCTAACATATGGATCATCAAATGTACTTAAATACTTAAAATCTGGATTGAAACTTTCCATAGTTAAATCATTAAAAGTGTCCCTTGTAAAAACCATCGGTAAGATAGATAAAATCTCCTCACCATGATCATCACAAGCATTCTCCTCTACCTCCTCTCCATGCTCCACTGGGAGGACTTGATTCTCACTCTCATGCTCATGAGACTTCATTATAGTCCACACCATTTTATCCATTGGTCCAGCGACCCTGATCACACCCCTAATATATTTAACACTGTCAGCCGGGGCATCAAAGCCAACAGCGGGGGCGTTATTAACCCGGTCCAGCGCCAATCCGGTATAAAAATATAAATTACTTTTTTCCATAGCTAAAAGATTTACCCTTCTCAGGGGGAAACTAACCCTTTTCAGGGGGAAACTAACCCGTACCTGGGGGAAACTTACCCTTTCCAGGGGGAAACTAACCCGTGCCTGGGGGAGACTACCCTTACCAGGGGGAATCTAACCCTTACCAGGGGGAGTCAACCCGTACCTGGGGGAGGCTACCCTTACCAGGGGGGCATCCATGTGGCACCATATGGGGCTGCCCAACCCCGTCCCACACCCCACTGAATGTGGGATGTGGGTTCGTCCTCCGCAATCCGCCTGGCTATCCAAGCCAGTTACCGGCTCTCACCACGAGGAGGTAGCGGTTGGACTTGCAATCCAGAGGCTTTCCTCAAAGAGGGGTCCCAAACAGCATAATGTCGAGCTCTAACGGGCGTGTGAGAAAAGGCTCAGATCTTGGTAGGGGTTGCCCCTATTGACCGGGCTCACGCCCACCCCCACCTCACCGATAACCCATTCTCTCACTACCCTCAGGCAATGTTTCCGTCCAAGCCCGACAGCTGAGAGGGTCCAGAGACGCATGGAGAGCCATTAAGAGAGCCCAGCAGCCCAGCCCTAAGCCTCCCTGTTCCTTGTCCCCTAACTGCCCCCTCCTAAGCCCCCCCCCAAATGCCCCCCAGGAACCTACCCCCTACCTGTACCCTGACTGCCCAAAACCTTCTCCACACCCCCAAAAAGCCCCCCCCGAACTCCCGACCCCCCCCGTCTCTTGACTGCCCCCTCCAAAACCTCCCTGCCCCTCCTCCGACCCCCTGGCCCCCTTGTTGTTGGCCTTTCTTCACCTAATGTCTCTGTGAGCTTGCTCAGGAACTGCATGAGCTGCTCGTCGGACACTGGGCAGCAGCGGGGGAGGAGCTCCAGACTCCCGGAGCCGATCTGCCATGCAGGGAGGGAGGGAGTGAGTGATTTCTGCTGCAGGGGAGAGGAGGAGGGGCTCTCTCTGGCTGAGTGTCGGAGCCCCATGTAAGTGGCACCATCCGGCCGGCTGCACTGTTAGCCGCGCATGGCGGGGGGGGGAGTCCGGACATTTACAAATTCCCCCCGGACGCTATTTTTAGCTTAAAAAGCCGGACATGTCCGGGGGAATCCGGACGAATGGTAACCCTAGTTAAACAGAAGCTACTACAGTGAGACATTTTTAAACCAGCAGGTCCAGCTGACTTGCATCGAGAGTTTTAAAAGCGCTGTCTGAGAAGCTTGCTGGGCGGTTGATTTTCAGTGAGTCTTGGAGCACTGGGAAAGTTCCAGGGGACGGAAGAGAGCTAACGTTGTGCCAATGTTTAAAAAGGGAAAGGAGGATGACCTGGTTAATTACTGGCCTTTCAGCCTGACATCAGTCCTGGGTAAGACAATGGAGCGTCTGGGACTCGATTAATAAAGAGCTAAAGGACGGTGATGCAATTAATGCCAATCAACCTGGATTTATGGAAAATAGATCCCGTCAAACTTGGTATTTTTTTGAGGAGATGACAGACTTTGACTCCCTCAGGGAACTGATGGGCAGGATCCCCTGGGAGAATAACATGAGGGGGAAAGGAGTCCAGGAGAGCTGGCTGTATTTTAAAGAATCCTTATTGAGGTTGCAGGAAAAAAACATCCCAATGTGTAGAAAGAATAGTAAATATGGCAGGCGACCAGCTTGGCTTAACAGTGAAATCCTTGCTGATCTTAAACGCAAAAAAGAAGCTTACAAGAAGTGGAAGTTGGACAAATGACCAGGGAGGAGTATAAAAATATTGCTCAGGCATGCAGGAGTGAAATCAGGAAGACCAAATCGCACTTGGAGTTGCAGTTAGCAAGAGATGTTAAGAGTAACAAGAAGGGTTTCTTCAGGTATGTTAGCAACAAGAAGAAAGTCAAGGAAAGTGTGCTCCCCTTATTGGATGAGGGAGGCAACCTAGTGACAGAGGATGTGGAAAAAGCTAATGTACTCAATGCTTTTTTTGCCTCTGTCTTCACGAACAAGGTCAGCTCCCAGACTGCTGCACTGGGCAGCACAGTATGGGGAGAAGGTGACCAGCCCTGTGTGGAGAAAGAAGTGGTTTGGAACTATTTAGAAAAACTGGACGAGCACAAGTCCATGGGGCCGGATGCGCTGCATCCGAGGGTGCTAAAGGAGTTGGCGGATGTGATTGCAGAGCCATTGGCCATTATCTTTGAAAACTCATGGCGATCGGGGGAGGTCCCGGATGACTGGAAAAAGGCTAATGTAGTGCCCATCTTTAAAAAAGGGAAGAAGAAGGATCCGGGGAACTACAGGCCAGTCAGCCTCACCTTAATTCCTGGAAAAATCATGGAGCAGGTCCTCAAGGAATCAATTCTGAAGCACTTAGAGGAGAGGAAAGTGATCAGAAACGATCAGCATGGATTCACCAAGAGCAAGTCAAGCCTGACTAACCTAATTGCCTCTATGAGGAGATAACTAGGTCTGTGGATGAGGGAAAAGCAGTGGATGTGTTATTCCATGACTTTAGCAAAGCTTTTGATACGATCTCCCACTGTATTCTTGCCGGCAAGTTAAAGAAGTATGGGCTGGAGGAATGGACTATAAGGTGGATAGAAAGCTGACTAGATCGTCGGGCTCAACAGGTAGTGATCAATGGCTTCATGTCTAGTTGGCAGCCGGTATCAAGCGGAGTGCCCCAAGGGTCGGTCCTGGGGCTGGTTTTGTTCAATATCTTCATTAATGATCTGGAGGATGGCGTGGACTGCACCCTCAGCAAGTTTGCAGATGACACTAAACTGGGAGGAGTGGTAGATACGCTGGAGGGTAGGGATATTTTCCCTCTGGATTTGGCTCTGGTGCACCCACTGCTGGGATCCTGTGCCCAGTTCTGGTGCCCACAATTCAGGAAGGATGTGGATAGATTAGAGAGGGGTCAGAGAAGCGGCACGAGAATGAAGAAAGGGTTAGAAAACCTGCTTTATAGTGAGAGACTCAAGGAGCTCAATCTATTTAGCTGAACAAAGAGCAGGTTAAGGGATAACTTGATCCCAGTCTATAGGTACCTACGTGGAAACAAATATTTAATAACAGGCTTTTCATTCCAGCAGACAAAGGTCTAACACGATCCAATGGCTGGCAGTTGAAGCTAGACAAATTCAGAGTGGAAATAAGGCGCACGTTTTTGACAGTGAGGGTAATTAACCATAGGAACAATTTCCTAGATCCACAATAGAGGTCTCCCTATGGGATGGGGAGCAGGCAGATACTGGACACAGTGTTGATATACGATACTCTAAATGCTCTTTATTGATTACAAAACAAACCTTACTCCACATTCACACCCCAAACATGCTATATCAGAGTCCAACGGTCAGAATGGTCCCGATGGCCAGTCGAGGTTCCTTCCCTCAGGATAAGATCATAGGATGCGGGGAGCCGGCAAAACCACATCTATATCCATACGGGACTCTGGATCAATAAATGACTCTGATTTGCAGAAAACATGGGCATCCATTTATAGTCCATTCCATCGCGTCATCGGTTCTTTGCCTTTGTTTACTAGGCCTTCTACTAGGCCTTCACACAATTCCAAAGAGACAATGCTGGGCAGGCCGCAGTGATCATAGGTGTGCCATTTCCTCCAATTCTTATACCATTTTATATCAGTCCAGCTGGTGGTGTTTCCTTTTCTGATGATTTTCTGTATTTTTCTTGGAACATAAGATTGTTTTTGCACAAATAGTTCTAATAGTCCTTGACCTTAAGTCCTTGCTTCGGTTGCTAACTTGCAACGCACGTATTCATGTCAAGCACACGTCATTCATACCAGGCCTCAGTGACCTATAACATATTACATGGATATATGAATCACAAGGTATATTGAGAGATATATATATATACCAACAAATTCACCCAGGGTCGTGGTGGATTCGCCATCCCTGGTGATTTTTCAATCTAGATTGGATGTTCTTCTAAAACGGGAGTGGGCAAACTATGGCCACGGCCTGGATCAGCCGTTTTAAGCTGGCCCGCAAGCTCCCGCTGGGGAGCTGGGTCGAGGGCCGTACCATGCGGTGAAGTCCCGCTCCAGCCAGGGCATCGGGTTGGGGGCCGCACCGCGCAGCTCTCGGAAGCCGCGGCATGGCCCCTTTCCAAGGGTCGGGGGCCGCGCCACGCCTAGGATCCGGAAAAGGGACATGCCACTGCTTCCGGGAGCCACTTGAGGTATGCGCCGCTCTGAGCCTGCACCCCTGAGCCTCTCCCCATGCCCCAACCCCCTGCCCCAGTCCTGATCCCCCTCCCACTCTCCAAACCCCTCGATCCCAGCCCGGAGCACCCTCCTGCACCCCAAACCACTCATCCCCAGCCCCACCCCAGAGCCCGCACCCCCAACCAGAGCCCTCACCCCCTCCCACACCCCAACCCCAATTCTGTGAGCATTCATGGCCCACCATACAATTTCTATTCCCCAATGTGGCCCACCCCTGTTCTAAAAGCTCTGCTCTAGGAATTATTGTGGGGCAGGTCTCTGGGCTGGGCTGTACGGGGCAGGGGGTGGGGAAGGTGCCAGACTAGGTGATCACAATGGTCCCTTCTGGCCTCGGAATCTATGAATCTCCTCCCAGCTCACTCCCCTCCTTCCCCCCGTTCCCTGGCCTTGCCCCACTCCCTCACCTCCGGGTCCCAGCCCCCCACTCATCTGACATCTCTGTAGCCACCTCTGAGCCCATCTTTCCTTTACAGCTTTGGAACAATTATTTCCACCTGGCAGTTGCCTTCCTCACCCAGGATTCCCTGCAGCTGGAGAACTTCTCCCAGGCGAAGCGCACCACCATCCTTGCCAAGTGAGTCCTGGCCGGGCTCCACTGGGCCCTGGGGGTTCTGGGCCCCGGGGGAGCCCATCTTCCACGGCCACAGCCTGGGCTCCTCCACTGGCCTCAGTGGTTGGAGGTGCCTCCTGACTCTGCCATGGAACCAGGCGGGGGATTCCTTGCTCTCTGATGAGGCTCTAGACTGGCTGCATCTGGAGCCTCCATCGAGGATGGGAAGGGGGGTGGATTTGGTGCTGGATTCCCGGCTCTGGGTCCCATTCTGCCCTTATTGACACCTGGAATGGTCCGGGCGGCACAGGGGCTGGAGGGAATAATTCCCTCTCCTTGTTGCATCAGGTACGGAGACATGAGAGCCACCATTGGAGCCGCCATCCGGGACATGTGGTACAACCTAGGTGAGGCTGGCGCAGGGCAGCTGGAGGCAGCCTCTGTCTTGCCAGGGTGGGAAGGGCTTGAGCCATAGGCAGGGCCAGGCTCGGCTGAGCCTGAGGGGCGGGAGCATAGTCATTTGCAGGATGGCTCTTTGGTTCGTTATGAAATATACTCAAGAAAGCAGAGACCCAACGTCTGGGTTATTGCTATAGACCAGGGATACAGCGCAGCACTCCGGGAAGCCGTCCCACACAGTCATGTGACATTCACCTTACACAGACGTTAACCCCTAAAGCAGAGGTGGGCAAACTACGGCCCGCAGGCCATATCCGGCCCACGGGACTGTCCTGCCCAGCCCCCGAGCTCCTGGCCTGGGAGGCTCACCCCCAGCACCTCCCCCGCTGTTCCCCCTCCCCCGCATCCCTCAGGGATGGATAGAGGGCAGGGGAGTTCGGGGGGTGGTCAGAGAGCAGGGGGAACAAGGGGTTGAATGGGGACAGGGGTGCTGGGGGGGCAGTCAGAAAGGAGAGGGGGGGTTGAATGGGGCGGCGGGGGGCAGTCGGGGCAGGGGTTCAGGGGGCAGTCAGGGGACAGGGAGAAGGGGTGGTTGAATGGGGGCAGGGGTGCCAGGGGGCAGTCAGAAAGTAGAGGAGGGGTTGGATGGGGCGGCGGGGGTCTGGGGGCAGTCAGGGGACAGGGAGTGGGTGTGTGGATGGGGCAGGGGTCCCAGAGGGGCTGTCAGGGAACAGGGGGGGTTGGATGGGGCAGGAGTCCCGGGGGGGGGCAGATAGGAGGTAGGGGCAGGGCCATGACCCCCTCCCCTAACCGGCCCTCCATACAATTTATGAAACCCGATGCGGCCCTCAGGCCAAAAAGTTTGCCCACCCTGCCCTAAAGCCATCTCTTTGTGCCCTGCCTGTTTACAAGTAAGGCCTGGTCTACACTAGAACTTTAATTCGGATTTAGCTGCCTTAATCCGAATTAACCCTTCACCCGTCCACACTACAGAGCCAGTTAATTCGAATTAAAGGGCCCTTTAAATCGATTTCTGTACTCCACCTCGACGAACGGAGTAGAGCCTAAATCGATTTTGTTAATTCGAATTAGGGTTAGTGTGGACGCACACCACCGAATTACTGTGTTTAAGTTAATGGGGTAGTGTGGCCGCACACCACCGAATTAATGTGGTTTAAAACCGAATTAAGGTGCTTAGTGTGGCCGCGCACAATCGAATTTATACAACCTGTTTCCCAAATTCGAATTATCTAAATTCGGATTAATCCTGTAGTGTAGACATACCCTAAAAGAGACATCAGCCAATACAAGGAGTAGCCAATCAGTTTTCGCCTTGGCTTTCTGGTCCCTGGCGTGCCCCTTGTCTCTGTTCTGAACACATGCAGTCCAGGTACCGAGGGGCATGAAGGACCTGCTAGGTCTGCACTAGGGCAGAACAGTCATTCGTCTTGTCCCCTTTGGGACATTCCAGTACTGGCCTGTGAGAACAGGTCCCTACCTTTCGGTTTGGCAGCTAGAGCAGCCTCCCGGCAGGAGCCTGGCAGACAGCGCGCACAGCTGGGGCTCCTGGCTCTTTGCATTTTTCTCCGCAAGCCAGCCAAACAGAGCCAGTCCGGGGCTGGACTAGCCAAGGGGCTGTGGGGCAGGACTGAGGTGCACCAGTAGAGCGGTGAGGGGTGGAGAGCGAGACTGGAGCAGTGGGGGCACTACAGAGAGCGACTGAATCCGATCTCCTGTCCTGAGCTGGACCCACACGGGTGTGAGCTGAGAATGCCCTTGCGAGGCAGCCCCACTCCCCGTCTGTCTGTCCCGTACCCCTGTTGCCGATTGTCATTCTCCCGGATGCTGCTGTTTCCGGGGCAGGACCCGGCTCGTTGCCAGGCCTGGTCTGAGTGCCTCGGAAAGGTCCCGCAGGGCGATACCACCACTTCCCCAAGGAGATCCTGCCCCCAGGCTGCTGCCCACAGCAGGGAGGAGCGGGCGTTCCCCCCATGGGGAGAGGGGAGGGGTCCTGGGAGAGCAATACCCTTCCCACCAGTCCCTTCCTGCCCCTGCCTCAGGCCATCACAAGATTCGGTTTATCCCTGGCATGGTGGGCCCCATCCTGGAGATGACGCTGGTGCCCGAGCTGGAGCTGCGCAAATCCACCATCCCCATCTTCTTCGACATGATGCTGTGCGAGTACCAGCTGACCAAGGCCTTCAGCATGGTGCGTACTGGGCCCCAGGGAGTCTGGGGCCAGCAGGGTGCAAGGAGGGGGCGTGCAAGGCACGGGTGGCAGTGTGCA